TTTTATTTCTCAATTTGAGGTGTTGTCTTGATCGTTTTCTTATTTCTCTACTTGCAGTGTTGTCCCAATCATTTTTTTTGTTATTCGGCTTGTGGTGTTGTCCCGATTGCCTTTTTTTCTTGACTTGCAATGTTGTCTTGGTCGTTCTTTATTTTTCTACTCGTGGTGTTGTCTTGGTTTTTTCTTTATCACTTGACTCGTGATTCAATCCAAAAAAAAAAAAAACACACAAAACAAAAAAACAAAACAAACAAAAACTTTTGAAAAAAATTTGAATCGTTATTTCGAACAAAATTGATGTCTTTGTCTTTGCCCTAATCTTGATTTTCAGTAATGTGCAAAGAGGAACAATTATAGATACCGAATTTTATCCAGGTCTACTAGATTAATTTTTTTTTCAAGTTTTGTTTATTAATTAATAATTAAATATAATATTAATAAAAACAAAAAAAATAGAAAATTAGGGTGGCAATGGTGCCTTGCACAGCACCACTGGCCACCCACCCCTCTGGTCACCCATACCCTACAAACCTTGTTCACCTTATCAACACTCCTAAACCACCACGCCACAGCCCTATGCCCTATCAATCCTAGATCTCTACAAAAACCAATTTGAACTCCCAATCAAGGAGATTAGAAGACCCCAGACTCCAATCCATCTCCCCTCAGTCACACTGCCTTCGAACACCTAAAAACTCCAAGTCTCTCTTGCCCAAATGATCCAGCCCCTGCATGCCCAGAAAACCAATCCTCCACAAGCACCTGTACGTACCACTAGTATTCTACATCCAGAAACCCATACGCATCAAAACACCCAAACAAAAAAAAACAACAAAATCAACAAAAAAACACAATCCTCGTCGAATCGACGAGGATCTCAATGCCAAAGAGGTAGCTGCAACAAAAAAGAAAGATCAATAGTTTGAGTTTTAGAAAAAAAAAAAGAATTCAAAAACTTCAAACCCCCAATCTACGTCGATCGGGGCCATTTCTCATGAAAGGGAGATTGGATCTGGGCTCAGGGGATCGAAAGGGATTTTTAGGGAAAGTTTGACCATCGAAGGTGGTGACCAGTAGTTAGTCTAGATGCGGCTAGCACGGTGGCACAAGCGCCGATAATTATACACTAGCAGAGCCATTGGAGCTCTTCTTAGAGCTTTGAGATTTTTTTTGGGATAAAAAGGAAAAAAATGAGCTGAAATTTTTTTTTTTTGGTTTTATATAGAAGACCAAAGCCTAAAACGACATCGTTTTGGACTAAGAGGATTCGCATATGGACCCGGATCTGACCCGAGATTTGCGTAACACGACCTGTTTCAACTAGCCTCCAACCGGTCTAGACGAACCACCAATGAATCGATTCGGACTGGTCGAAACTCCTGAACCGTCGAGCGACCAGACCAGTTTTGACCATACCGTTGATCAGTCCGGTTCAAGTATTTTTTATTTTTTGAATTTTTTTATTTTGAGCTTTATTATTAATATTTATGCATGATAAAATTTTAAAATTTATTAGAATAAATATTGGTTTTTAATAACAATAAAAATGAAAACAATAAATAATAAAAATAAAAATAATAAGAATTGAATAATATTTTTTTTATTTTCCCTGCCTAGATGTTGGAGGGAATAAAAATACACTTCTAAAAATAATTCTATCTAGATGTTGGGGAAGTATTATAAAAAAAATTAAAATTAAAAAGTATAAAAAGATAATAAATAATTAATAATAATAAATTAATAATATTATTATAATAAATTTTCATAAGAAAGAATTTTTTTTAGATTAATTTTCAAGAATTATAAAAATCGAATTTGCTTCGAAAGTTCGCCTAGATGTTGAGGAATTTTAGAAATGTTCATGTTTTCCATAAACCCTAAAATCCAAAATCCAACAATTAAAACCATAAATCCTAAAATCTAAAATCCAAAAATCAAAACCATAAATCCTAAAAAACTAAACCGTAAATCCTCTAAATCCTAAAATCAAAACCTCAAACCTCAAACCATAAAGTTAAAACCTTAAAATCAAAACCCTAAAATCTTCAAACCCTAAAATTAAAACCCCAAAACCTTCCAAACCCCAAAACCTTCCAAACCCTAAAATTCAAGCCCTAAGACCCCCAAACCCTAAAAATCAAAACCCTAAACCTTATAAACCCTAAGATCGAACCCTAAAACCCTTAAAACTCAAACCAAAACCCCAAAATCCAAAACTCCAAAATCTTGAAACCCCAACCTTTAAAGCATCGACCCTTACCTATATTCAAAATTGTTCCAAAATTCTAAGAATGCGTGTGAAAACTCAAGTGGAGTAATTTGTTCCTGATGTCGCCTAGATGATGGGATATTTAGGAAACTTTATTCCATTAAGTTTTTCAGGTGAGTCAATAATTCGCTTTAACAATGTGATTAAAATCAATAAATAAAAGAGGAATATTAATAAAATGAAATCTTAAATATAAATAGTCGCACCTAAGCTCTGCCTAGATATTGGAAAGTCATGGTGGTCTCATTATATCTAAGAATCCAATCTCAAATTTGCATTTCATCATTATACACAGTACCTATTAGCTTACATACATTTATTTGTTATTGTTTGCATTCGTTTATATTTCTCTATCTTTAATTTTTACTTGTTATCTAATAATACCATTATTTTTTTTGCACAAAATGTTTTTAATTTAGTTACTTTTAAAATTATGATATCATAAAATAAAATAAAAATAAAAATAATATTCTAAAGAAAATAATTTTTGGTACTTTGCCTAAATATTGAAGAGTCACCAACAACCATTTCTTGTAATATGTGTTATTTTTATTTTAATGGATATTGTATTAAATCTCAAGTGAAAATAGTTATTTTAAATTCTGCCTAGATGTTGAAGAATTTTAAGATAATTCTTTAATTTAAAGATATTCTCAATATTTCTAAATAAAGAATTTTAGCAAAAATATTTTTAAATGAAGAGGATTAATATTAAATTTTAAATCGAAACCATTTCATCCAACCTCGAAATTAGTGCATGATTAAATTATACTAATTTATAGGCGTTATGGGGGTGTTAATCTTTTCCGACGCATAACCGACTCTCAAGCCCAATCTGAGTTTTCGTAAACCAAAATTTATCTTTTTGATAAACTTTAAACCCACTTTTATAATTTTATTAAAAAAATAAACTTTTGAATGATCAATCATATCTTAAAAAAAATTAGTGACAATTCTCTTTATTTTTTTCGATTTTCAAAACTCTTTATATTTAACAGTTCCAAAATTATTATGACAAATGATCACATATTAACGTGAATTGCATTTAATATTTCAAATAAATTAGAAATTAATTGATCTATTAGAAGGTGTTTATTAGACGTCAATTTTAGCAGTTGGGTGAGCCTTTCCCAAATATGAAGAGATGGAGATGAGTTTGTGTTGTGCGAGGAGTGTGGATATTGATCCTCTTTAATGGTGACGTTATAATCATATCTATACTGACTTGATGTGGGTCACTTGATTTTGTTAATTGAGTATGTTGGTATAACAATTAAAATATTAATTTTTTAGATTAATATTTATTTTTAATATTTTTTAACTTTATTTTATAATATAGTTAAAATTAAAATTAAGTAAAAAAATTTTATTAATAAAACAATGTTTTTTGATCAGTCCTGAATTTAAAAACTTTTGTCCGAGATTTTGCTTGAGTGAGGCTAGGCTCGCGGGTCTAGCAGGCCGTATCAGCCAATGAACATACTTAATGCAAACCAAATGAAGTCAAGCTTCAAAAAAAAATGGTGAATATGTAAAATAGCCCTTATACTATTTGTCTTCCATCGGTTTAATACCTAAAAATATAAAATTTTCATTTTCATATTTTAACTTTTATTTTGTTAAATATTTTGATACATTATACTATTTTAATCAGTTAAGTGATTAATGTTGTATAAATATCTAATAAAATTATGTCATGTATCACAAATATTCAATTTTCACTAAATGAATTATTATCACGTGAGCAAAAAATTTTAAAAACATAAAAAATATGATTTTTTTAAATAAAAAATAAAAAATAACATAAAATAGATTATTTGGCGATAATTGGATATTTATGTCATGTGTTATAATTTTATTGGATAATAATATTATGTAAGTAACTTGATTAATAGTGTTAATTTGAAGTATCGAAGGATTTGAGAGGATGAAAGTTTGAGGGTAAAAATAAAAATTTTATTTTTTTAAGTAACAAAATTGATAAAAAAATATATATAATACAAGAATATTTTTTATTTAACCCAAAAAAATGGTGAAGTACTTTTGTTGTTAAAACTCTTTAACAGATATATTTGCAAAAATACGTTTAAGAGACTCCACTTAAATTTTATGGATCATCTAAAAAATGGATAAAGAAAATGGTAGAAGGGCAATTTCTTTTTAATTGAAATTATCTAGCGTTTAATCTAAAAAAATATAGGTAAAAACATTTATTTTAAGGCATCGAAAACATAATGAAAAATATGCCTAAGATTTTTAGGGATCTCTTATCATTCTTTGCGCGTGCAAGTTCTTGTCATTTTTATGACTAATATTTTAGTTGAAATATTTTTTTATTTAATTTAATTTTAGTTTCTTAAATTAATTAATAAATCTTATTTTATTAATTGTAATAATGCTCATCAATACAATCTAACTGACCTCGGTAGAAAAAAATAATTATAAATAAGTTTTTTTTTTTTTTTTCGTTGTAATTGTTACCAATAAGTTTTTTCATCATACCATATTTCTCATGCGCTTCATGGACAAAATAATTTTCATTGTCATATCAAACTTATTACAATAATTCATCATTTTCTTTGACTGATTTTTTTTTTCTTTGAAACAAAATAATTCTAAAACAATTTAAAAAACATATCGGCCAAATTCTTGAGTTAACAAACTTTTGAAATCGCTTAAAAGTTTTTTTTTTTCGATAAAGAATGATAAATCTTTTATTGAGCATCCAATAGAATTTATTTAACATGTATATAATCCAACTAGATCTGTCCACAACTCTGTAGCTACTTTATAGCAGAAATTTATACATTTCTTTCATTGGGATACCCTTTCATCTTATCAAGTTATAAGTTATAACCTTCCAAAGAAAAAAAAATTAAAATTTATATCCTATACAAACCTATAAAAGGCATGTTAATTGATCCAATCCATAAATGGCCATCTTTCTCTTGCACTTCACTCATGGACCTCATTGTCTTTCCACTTTTATGTTCTAACGTTTCTAAAATTTCGCCATCCTCACTGAGCCTCATTGCCAATCCTGTCCCGCTGCACTTGGACCAAACCGAATAAGCTTTCATAATGTCAATGGGCAGCAGTTTAATCAAAGCACTGCCTACTTGTGGATAGGAAAGAATCCACGATATAATCATATGTCTTCGTGAATGCATGGCCACCCAAAACCCTCCTCTTGGGCTTCTTTTGATATTGTCAGGGAATCCTGGGAGTTGTGCGAAAGTTTCAAGAGTTGCAGCTTTTGATGTTGTTAACCAGTACCTCATGATTCTACAATTGGTGGTTTCGGCAAAGAGAAGAAAACTGCCATCTTTGCCTAATGCCACCCCATTGGGGAATGAAAGATTGGTTAAAAGAATAGTCACTTGTTTGCTTTCCTGCTCATATTTCATCAGCCTTCCCGTTTTATCCCCGGTTAGTATTAGAGGGATATAATTCCTGTAAAATTTATTAAAAATATATAAAAAAAATTAAAATGTTAATAAAAATATTAATGAAAATAACAGTTTTACCCCGACAAAATTAAAATTTTTTTCGAAAATAATAGTTTTTGCTCCATTTAAATGTATCAAATTAATTTAAATTTTAGCAATAGAGTTTTGAGATGTACCTCCTTTGATAAAGAGAACTGCTGTCAGTGAAATAAATGGATCCATCGGATTGGTTGATGTCCAAACCATTGATGAATTTGAAAGGGCTGCCTTGAGCATGTGTTGCTATCCTAGTGGCCAAGCCGCCTTCAGGACCAACTTTTAGTAGCCCCATGTATGCATCAGCAATGTAAAGATCACCTGTCGCCTCGCTGAAACAGATGCCTAATGGGCGCCCACAATTCTGCTCTGTTTCACGATGATCATGTTGCCCTTCACACCCTTCTCTGCTCAAAGCAGCCACTTATGTCATGACTTACATATATTCTGTCTATTTCTATGAATAAATTCCATATCTAAATTCTCAATACATGATTCACAATTGTGAGTTTTATTATTATTATTTTTTTGTTAAACAGTTGTTAGTTTTAATTGGTTTTACCTTGCTTGGAAGATCATTTATTTTGAAATTTGTTGGTTTAATTGGTTAAGTATTAATTTCATTTTATTTTAAAACTTAAATGTTACACTTTTAAATTTTACTAATTAATTTTCTTTATATCTCATTTTTTAGAATATATATAATGATCTTATACTTGCCATGCCATCATATTCATGCCAAGATTGGACTTGATATTGTCTATTAATTTTTCTTATGTTTATCATTTGTGTGTTTGGAATCTACAATTAAAATTATAATGCATGTGTAAAGATGATGAAATATATTTTGTAAAATAATGGATAAAAAAAACTTGTAACTTAATTTAATTGATTAATATAATTATTTTTAAGAGATGATATTTAATAAATTTAAAATTAAAATTAAAATTAAAATTTTTTTCCTTCAAATTGTGATTTCTTGTATAAAAACACAAAATTGTAGAAGTTTACGTTGTGGGGAGTGTTTTTTGTAGTGCCGTGGGGCTAAACGAGCTGCGGATGTTTTGAGTGTGGGACCTAATTATAGATAAATCAAAGGGCTGCCTCTGCTAGGAGGGCGATGACAAATACAAACCACACAAACCTGGCGAAGACATCTCCAACCCTATTCACGCGACCCAAAAATTGAAAAATGCGATTCCCAATCACGTTTTTTTTTTTTTTTTAACAAAGGATGGGTTTAGTCAATAAGAAAAGAAAGAAAATCTTGCTTCCAAACAAGGCCTTTCTATCTTCTTTTATATCTTCTTAAGAGCTCAGATCAAGGAGTTGAGAAAGACTTCCAATCACTTAGGTTGGTAGTAAACTTTTACAAGATTGCTTGATAATTTCTTGTTGGTAGATGGGCTAGCGCTAAGACGAAGAACCTTAAATAACCCACTTTTGATCCCATATGAAGGAAAAACGTAAAGCAGGTGTTCAATACTTCCAAACTCTCCGTATATACTGCAGGCCTAACGCTCCCATGGAAGATAAACGAAAACAATTTTCAAACGTAAAGAATATTGGCTATCACACAAGGTATGTGTACGTTGGAGATACGTACCTTTTTGGGGAAGTCGTGGCAAAACTGATCCATCGCTGTTCATTTTCTTGCCACTTGATGATCCGACCGTCCGATACTCCGGTATAGGGACCATCACCAAGTCGGTCAAACGCCACGCTTTCAGGTCCTAACGCATCCACAATTGGGACAAATTCCATTTGCCTATGTTTGCCGTTGAAAAGTTTTTCTAAGACGGATTTAGCCATATGATTGACGGTGATTGCACAGAAGAGTATGATCGTTGCTAATGCGATGAAGTGTTTGGAGGTCATGCTAATTATGGAGGAATGAAAGAGTTTGAAGAGAAAAAGGAAGAAGTGCTATGAAATACTGTGAGCAAAGGCAATGCAAAAGAAATTAATGTATACGTTTCATTTATAGTAAATTCCTGACGATGGATTGACTGTTGCCAAGAAAAAAAAAATGCTTTCCATGCCCTTAATTATTACCTGTATTGTCATAATGTGGAAATGGAAATTAATGAACCTGTTCCTTTGACTTGACAATATAGGGAATTCTATTTATATTCTATTTATTACTCTATATATTATATTTAAAATTTAAAATTTAATTTTTTATTTTTACTAAATACATCCACACTCTTTATTTTTTATTTTTTATTCTTATCCTTTTTCTCTTTTTCTCTCTTCACTTTTCAATAGAAAAACCCAAAATCCATTAAATTAACTTCAAATCACCAATATTTTTGAGTTTTTCAGTGATTAAAGGTAAGATTCCTATCTTGTTTTCAATTAATTTTGATTAAAATAATGTGAATATGGGTAAGAATTTACAGTAAAATTTAAGTGAAATCAAGTTTCTTGAAAATAGATATTCAAAAAGCTTTAAAAATTTTTTAGAATCCATTTTTGAGAAGTTTCAATGATTTTTGGATATCCATTTTTGAAAAGTTTCAAAAATCATTGAAGTTTATCGAAAATGAATTTTCGAAAAGCCTTAAAATTTTTTGGATATCTATTTTTGAAAACCTTTAAGAACTTCCATAAGTGAATTTTTTACTTTTAATCACTGAAAACCTTACTTATATAGATCCATGTCCTATGAGCTGTTTAAGAATGACTTAATTAAAAATATATGCACTAATGGACCCATTTACTTGATCATATGTACGAATGGAATTGAAATAGATGTTTTCAAGCATGCATGGCACAAACTTGTTTTTTCTCTTGAGACTTCAAAAAACAAAAAACACCTTTTTTTTTTTATTTTCTAATTTTGCATGGGCAAAAAGGTGTTCTTGGTTTTTTGGTCTCAAGACAAGAACACTTTTACGCCATGTATATTGTAAACATTGAATTTTGTCATGAACGTTTTAGCATGGGTAACTCAGGCCCATTTACAATCCTTTAAGATCCCATAAAATGGATCGATATTTAAGTATAATAAAAAAGAGACCCATATGATTACTATCAAACTCTTTTGCATGACTTTGGTCAAAATTGTACAAAACTTGATCAAAATAAATAGGACTTAGGTTAATTCTCAAAGTTTATAACCTAATTGGAATCAATGTGATTTAAAATTAAATTTAGTGATTTTTAAAACACTAAAAATTTTTATTGTACTAAGGAAAGTACAAAATTACTAAAATACCTTATACGAGATATTTTTGTAATTTAGGTTTTTTAAGCTCAAATTTTCATGAAACTTTTCAGATCTCAATTTCTTAATATTTCATGATTTTTTATGCACTTAAAATTATAGCAGCAGTACCTCGAGAAATATGAAATTACCAAAATACTCCTATAAGAATTTTTTTGTAATTTAACTTTTCTAAGCTCGAATTTTCATGAAATTTTTTAGATCTTAACTTCATAATATTTCATGATTTTTTGTATATTTGAAATCACAGTAGTACCTTAAAAAGTGTAAAATTATCGAAATACCCTTAAAAATGTATTTTCGTAATTTGACCTTCACAAGCTCAGATTTTCATGAAACTTTTTAGATCTTAATTTCATAATATTTCATGATTTTTGGTGCATTTGAAATCATAGTAGTACCCTAAAAAGTGTGAAATTACCAAAATACCCTTATAAGGGTATTTTTTGTAATTTGACCTTTTCGAGCTCGGATTTTCATGAAACTTTTAAATTTTAATTTTATAATATTTAATAATTTTTGGTGTTTTAAAATCTCAAAAATGAGCATGGAAACATTGATTTCTAAGAAAATGACCTAAATACCAAAAACTTTGTACTATAGGTAAAATGATCTTTTCATGTGTTTGGAGGATATAAAAATCTAATATTTGTAGTGAATGATATGGATCATTGGATCTTTTATTGATCTTGATCCAATGACCAAAGGTGGTTCCTTGAAAAGAATAAAAAGACAAGCTTTAATCCTTGGATGAAATCTCATCCGAAGGTTTATATTAACCAAGAATGAGAATTTTTTTTAGGGGGCTAACTCTTGAAAGAAAAAAAGGGGGGTCCACCAAATGGAGAGGAGAAGAGGATGAAAGAAAAAAGGGAAGAAGGAAGCCAACATAAAGAAAAAAAAAAAGGATTGAGAAAAAAAACCAGAAAAATCATAGAGGAAGAAAGGAAAGCTTGGTTGAAAAAGGGAAAAGAAAAGAAAACTCTTGAAGAAAGTGGGAAGGAAGGTAGTTTTCTGAAACTTTTTGGATATTCATGTTCTTCCATGTGAGATTAAGAAAAATGGTTCTTTTTTTTTCCTTCGTGTTTGTTTCGGTATAGGGTTTGTACGAAAGTTGAAAACTTGTTAGTTTAGGGAAGCTTAAAGCTTCAAACTTTTATCGATTCTAGTATGTCCTTGTTTGTAGGTTGTTTGTTGAGGGTTTAAAGGTTACTGTAGTTGTTTTCTTCTTTTACTTGTTTTTATATGTATGTTATTATATAAGCTTAAAAGTTCATCTTATATAGGTGCTATGGTTTTTAATCTCTACATGAAATGATGCAAAAAAGCTTAAAACTTCTTTTTTGTTATGTTTATTGGCTTCTCATTATTATTCATGCATCTTGTTCTTTTTTCTTTTCACTTTTGCACATGCTATATATAATGCATGCTTTGTAATTAGTCCGTAGAGGTTAATGGTCTTAATACTTTAAGGGTTTGTTTTTTTGCATGTGAATTGTTGGATAGAGTTTATTTATAAAAGTTTAGAATGCTACTACGGGTGGCATCGTTTTTAGGATGGAAGAATAGAAAAAAAATTATTAAAATGAAGAAGCCATGAATATGACAAAACTAGAGCTTTGTTTAAAATGGGTGGGGACTGCATGGTTTTCTTGGCTTTTTTTAGATTGAAGAATGAAAAAGGTATTAAAAAATGAAAGCCATGTAAAGAAGAAGACAAAGCTTTCTATAGAATGGCATGGGGACCATGGCATTGTTTTCTTTTTGCTTGATGGAGTAAGTAGGGATTTAATAGTATTTTGTCCATGTTGCAAGACGTGGGGAAGCAAGACCACATCTTTTGTTGACTTTCAATAGGTTAAGTTGTTTTAGTTGAAATTCTCTAAATAAATTTTTAATAAAAGAAATAAAATTGGTCTCTAATAAAGGTATATTTTCATGTATATTTAAGCTTAATCATGTTTACATGTATATTTCTATGTTGTTTAAGTTTAGTTACAAGTTTAATTTTATACATTTTTAATTAGATTCCTATGTTTGTTGTAATTTAATCCTTCCTACTTTAATCTATGTTTGTCATTTTATTTACGCAATACAAATGCTAATAGTAATAAATGAAAATTTTCAATGATGGGATTTCGAAAAGTCTGAGTAGTGATTCTCGAGAATTCTCTAGGTAAGAAAAGATTTCTAAAAATTATCAAAGTATTGGAATATTTTGAAACTTTTTTCAATACAAAATTTTTAATTAATTTGAACAATTCTAATAAAATGATAAAAAAATATACATATTTTTTAAAAACCATTTTTTAATAAGTAATAGGAATTTTTGATGATGGGACTTTGGAAAGTTTGAGTAGAGATTCTTGAGAATTCTCAGGTGAGAAAAGTATTTTGAAAATTGTCAAAGTATTAGAATATTTAGAAATTTCTTTTTAATACAAAAAGTTTTTATTTTATAATTATTTTCTATAATTTGAACAATATTTCTTAATAAATAAGAGTGTTTTTAGGCAATAAATGTATTCATGTATAATATTATTGCTTGACTTTTAATTTTAAAAAAATAAAAAATCTTCCGCGATGAGATTTTAAAGAAATTCAAGTAGTGATTATTTATGAATCTTTAGGTAAGAAAATCTATCTAAAATGCTGCCAATATATTGAACCAATTAGATTAATTTTCGGTAAAGATTTTTCATTTTTAATGGCATAGAAATGAGTTTTTAAGAAAATGATATTTTCTTTTTTTAAAAAATTATATATATCATATTTTATGCAAGTAAATTTGAATCATCGAGGATTGAATTTTTGAGAATTTTGAGTAACGATTCTTAAAAATTCTTTAAGTGATATGGTTCATTTTAATATTGTCAGAATATTGGAATATTTTTAGAAAATTTTCAATATAAGGTTCTTATTTATTTTTCAAGCTTACTAAAAAAAATAATAAAAATATGTGCTTAAAGAAAATAGAAAAATTAAATCTTTAAATACCAAAATTAAGACTATTCTAGTCAATAGAAAAAGATAGCACATAATTAATTTGTACTGTTTTAAATGGGTACTGTAAGGGTGCTAATCATTTCCCATGCATAACCGACTCCTGAACCTAAACTATTTTTCGCAGACTCAAAAATTATCTTTTTAATAAATTATAATTAATTTATTAAGAAAGTAAGTTTTAATAGGTGGTCAATCGCACCTAGCCAAAAAAGATTGGTGGTGACTCTTTCATTTGTTTTCAAATTCGTTTAGCGGTCCCCAAAACTATTACAACACATACTTAAGAACTAACATGTCTTTTCCATTCACACATATGATCAACTAAGCATGGGCACATTGATGACTGGACCCTTCCCACCCATGCTTGCTTGTGAACTTGTTTCCAATATTCCTACATTTGTATTATTTATTTTAAGATTAAATGTATTTATTTTATTTAGATTTAAATTAAACGTTGTCATGAGTTTATAATTAAATATATATTTAAAAAAATTTATGTATTTTTGAAAATAAAATTTCAAGAATATAATGTAAATCTCGAAAATGAATTTCCAAGAATATATCATAATTCTCGAAATGAATTTTCGAGAATTATATTGCAGTATAAAAAATGGATTTTGATAATTACATTATATTTTCAAAAATCCATTTTCGAAAATGTAATTGCAATCTCAAAAACTCATTTTTGAGAATGCAATATAATTCTCCCTATCGTTGAATTCAAAAGAAGAAAAAAGGTTGGGTGTATAAGCTATT